TTCTCCCTTCTAACGTACTAAAATCCTGCCAGTTTATCTGCTTACCTTTTGAACAGGCTCCAGCTATGAACTCTCTTAGCCACTCGATCACTTCTAATCCTTCCAGCAATATTGTACCCTTTTTCGCTTCCCTTACCTTCAGTCTTACCTTCCCCTTGATTCTCATCTCTTCGAACAGGAAATTTTCTGCTTCTATCTTCAAGGATCTCCTCCACTGACCTGCCTGCATGAACACCATTTCTCTAATTGAATGCATCCTACTATTGCTACCCTAAATGACACAATAATCTTTTCAGTTTTAAATAATAAGGTTGATGAAAAAATGTATATACACACATACACAATCCAGGGTCTTGGGAGGCAGACTGAATATGGACTTAACCTTTGGCATTTTTTTTCCCACAAGTTGGATGCTCTCAGGGGAGTTTGTTTCTTTTAGAAAATTATAATAAAACTATTTCTGTAACATTCTATCTCTTCATGAATTTCAGTTATCTACTCATGCTATAGCTATAGCTTGGTAACTTTGTACCAACCATCTTGCAGTGCATTAACTAGTATAATCACTTCCAGGGGTGAAGTCCGAAGGGGTGGATTCTGTAGCAGAATTGGAAGCAGCCATATTAGAAAGCCTCAGTAGGTATGATCCATGGGTTGAATTTTGTTGTATCATTTTAAAAATGTAGGAAACTTGTAGACATTGCTTCATGCCTTTATGTTGCAGTCACGTCCGTGCTGTTGTTGCAACATTAGGAGGGAGGCATGGAGCTGCTGGAAGGGCTGATAAGTGGAGGCATCTTTATGCAGGGTTTACAGTGTGGTTGTCAAAATCTAAAGCTTCAGGCAAGTTTGTTTGTTTTGTTTCAATGTTCAACGTTATTTTTTTCATCACTTAAAACAGTTTTTACTATTTTTATTTCATGACCTTGTAAAACTTCCCCATTGATAAAAAGATGTTCTTATATCCCAGAGTGTATCTACGCTTCGATCTTTCTAAGGTCATATAGGTTCTGTTTGGTAGGAGTGCAAATGCATAACCAAAGTGAATTTGCACTCCGATTCAGTTTTGCAGGTGTTTGGTAAGAATGTGCTTTTATACTGAAAATGAAAGTACTTTTTTTCAACTGTTTTTGCATTCAAAATGGGATCAAAGTTTGCTTTGGAAAAATGGAAACAGACTTTGCACTCAAAGTTGGTCAATGCAAAAGAGGTTGGTTCCGGCCTTGAGATTCATGTTTGCACCCATCACAACCAAACAAGACACTGTAAATTTATCAGTGCACAACCGAACCAGGTTTTCATCTTTCTATTAAACACGTTTTTCATTCACGTCAGTGCATTCACTTTTTCCACTCTTATCAAACACAACATTATGTAATCCTGCTGCTTTATTAAAACTATTCTGAAATCAGAATATGGTATTGGTTGCTGTCTATGCAGGGGAGAGAAGAGAGGAGAAGAGTTTGGGAATGATTTGAATGGGAGAAAAGCTGTTCTTCCCTCCCAGTCGATTACTATAAATAGGATTGCATTAGATTATAAATATAAAAATGTCTAATATGCTCCTATTAAGTTGGGGGCAGATCTATAGAAAGATAAAACAGAACAAACTGACATGAACACCCATTTACATGTCACTTAACTTCCCCTCAAGCTGGAGAATATATCTCAACTTGTTATATATGTATTCCACCCTCATCCAACTTAAATTCTTAGACTAAGTTTGTTTGCAGTGTGGATTTCATTTGCACTGGTGTTAATGCATGGGAGTATAAAAGGGTTGAGTGTAAATTTTGCTTTAAATTTTTTTCAGATTTGCCTTTTGTCTTATTTGTTTTTGAGAAGCAAAATGAAGTTGTCTCTACTTTATATGAAAGAGAACGGAAGTAGGAGGAGGTTTATTTGTTTTGGAGAGAGGTATGATGCAAGATGATGTGGTCCCCACTTTATATGAGAGAGAATTGACATAGGAGGAGAAGAAAGTAAAAATTTTTTATCAGGTAGGAGTGCAAATCATAGTTACAGACAAACGGATGCAGAACTGAACTAGGTGCAAAATTCATATCTGGTTCAGAATTGTACTGCAAAAAAACAGCCTTAGTAAACAAATATTTCCACTGATTTTCAAATTTCACATGAACACTACATATAATTCCTTCAAGGGCTTTCTCTGTTACAAAGTGGTAATCAATTTCTCTTGTGCTTGGTTCTCTCATGGAGAATTTAACTGGAAGCTATATGGACAGCAGCTCGGTGATCATAATATAACTTCATAAGAGTAGTCAGTGTATCCAATTTCTTGAAGAAGATGCTTCAACTAAACCAACTCACACATGGTGTGAGCCATAGGCCATAGTTCCATATTCAGTCTTGACACTTTTTCTTGCAACAACCATATATCTTATACTTTCACATAACTAAATTTCCACCTAGCAAGGTGCAATGACAAGATGTAGGCCTTCTGTTAGAGATGGAGCCAGCCCAATCAGCATCTATATATCTGTCTACTTCCAATTTGTCACCTTCCCTATGTAACAATTCATGTCCCAGAGATCCTTTTAAATAGCATACAATTTTCATCAGTGCATCCTAGTGTGGAACCAAGGGTTCTGTATAAATTGTCTTACGACACTTCATAAAACACTCCAGTGGGTGGAGATTCAAATTCCCAAAAAATGCATGTATTGGAAACCTATGAACACCCAAAATTAGAATTCAAGTTTCTATAATTCTAAGGCACAATTAGGTTTTATTAAGAGGAGCAAAATATGTACAAGTACAATAACACTCCTCTTGGGCTGAAGAAAGAAAACAATATCATACCCTAGATGTACACTACTATGATACTCTTTTAAGTATGGAGCAATGTTTTAAAGCGCGGAGGCGTGACACAAGGTGTTCCACTACCTAGAGGCGTGAGGCGTAGTTCAGAACGCAAGAGGCGTAAGCCTCCCGAACACAAGGAGCCGTAAGCCTTCTTAAGAGGAGGGCGTTAGGAGGAGGATGAAGAGGAGGGGGGATCTCATTTTTTCTTAACTTTTATATTAAGAAGAATAAAGATGCATAACATTAGTTCAAAGGGGGGGGGGGTCTTGTTGAAGCGGAGCAAGATCCCCCTAACTCAAAAAAACAAATTGGGCTGCATCGAAAAGGGGGCGGGGGGTCTGGGGGAGTCGAAGGGGCAAGGGGCAAACCACTTTCTTTCTCCTTATCTTTTCTTCCCTTCCCTTTCCTTTCCTTTTCTCTTTTTTTCTTCTCTTTCTTTTTCTTTCCCTTCCCTTTCTTTTCTTTTCCTTTCCTTTCCTTTCCTTTTTTTTTCTTTTTTCTTTTTTCTTTTTTCTTTTTTCTTTTTTCTTTTTTCTTTTTCTTTTTCTGTCTTTTTATATCAGATGTGCATGAGGTGTACGCCTCTAGCACGCCTCATGAAAAAAGCGCAAGAGGTGTATGCCTCTTGCACCTGAGGCATACGCCTCAGAGGTGTCAACGCCTCAGGGCGTTTTGGGAGCGCCTCGCCTGGAGACGCGCCTCCAGGCGTACGCCTCCCACACCTTTTAAAACACTAGTATGGAGTATATGCAATCCCTCTTCTCACATGCCCCTGGGGCAGCAAGAAAAATTCCTAAACATGCCTCAAAATGTTAGGCAAATATAGGTCGTACACCTCTTAAATTAATTGAAATGGAGATTTTCGTCAAGATGGAGGCCTATGTTTTTTCACTTCTCTTTTACCACACTTAAATATTACAATTCACTTTCTATGTAAATATGATTAGCATACTGCTTTTAAATATTATAAAAGTTTCATTGAATTTGATGGTATGCTATGGTTGAAAGGCTAATTGTAAACGAAGGATGGCAACATATAACACTGCATGCTTTTCTCTGTATCCCTGTCTTTGAGAAATGAAAAGTTGTATTTCTTTTTCTTTATCTTTATCCTATCATTGTCTAGGAATTTTAGCTTTATGGAACTGGCATCTTGGAAGCTAGGAATGGCAATGGGGTAGGAGGCAGGGCTGAGTATTGCATGCCCTGTCCCCGACCCCGAACTAAAATACCCCGCCCTGTATCCCCATGGGGCTAGAAATCCCAATTCCATCCCCATCCCCATGGGGAATGGGGATCCCCGAATTTGCCTAGCCCTGCCCTGGCCATTCCTACTTGCAAATTTATTTATTTTTTATTTTTTTTGAAATCTATCTAGAACTATATTATATTATATTATGTAATTACATAATATAATATAATATAGTTCTAGATAGATTTCAAAAGGGGTGTTGTCAGGGAAGAGGATGTTTCAGAAGTTGGTGAAGATGAAGAGGAAGAGGAGGGAGTGGAACTGGATAGAGTTCGAAAAATTAAGCAAAAGGTGGATGGGGAAAAGGTGCTGGAAACTGGTCTCCAAGAGGGTAAGAAGTTGGGCTTATTGGCTTTAGGATGGGAAGAATACACCAGGAGCTTTTTGGGAGCTAGAGCTACAGTACTCGCTGAGTGCTGAAAGCCCTTGATATGTTTAGGGTTAGTTTAGAGTTTCCTGTTTGGGGGGATTTTTGGTCGGGTGGGCATTCTCGGTTTTGTTGACTGAGGATTGTGTTGCTTCAGAAGCAAGTTTTTTTTGGTTTATTTCTCTGAGTTTCTTAAGGGATATCCAACTGCCAGGAAGGTGTTACTTGTGTGGAACTGTGCAGGAGAATGGCTACATCTGTGCTTTGGTTGCTCTTTCTGAAAGCTTTTTTGGTATGTCTTTGGGCTGTTTCAGATCTAGTATGGTGAATCCTAGGTCTCCTGGAGACATTTTTTGCTTGTTGGCCTACACTGAAAGAAACTTTTTAGGCAAAGATGGTTTGGAAATGTGTTCCTTTTGTCATATGTTGGGAAGTGTGGAATGAAAGAAACAAAAGGGATCTCTGAAATCATATGTTGAAGAAGAGATGAGTTCACTATTTTATGCAGTGTTTAGAAAACTGGACTGGCTGGTTGGACTGGTTGAACCGTGATCCAGGACCTTGGCCGGTTCATTTCATATCCCAATAACTGCATTTGATCAAAAACTGGTGAAAACCGGCTGGCCGGATGGTTTAACTGGAAAACCAATGAACCGGTCCCAGTTTTGTGAACCGCCCGGGTCCTTAACAATTGAAATTTTAAAATGTATTTAGTAAGACCTGAACCCATGACCTCAAATTTCTATATATTACTCAATTACCATTAGGTAATTAAGAGACTTGAGCCCTAGTCATTTGGTTTAAAAATTAAGGAACTTGCCATCTATCTACTATATTTAAATATATCAGAAGTTATAAAATATATGATATATAGTATTTATATGACCCATAGTACATATCTATATGCCACGTCATCATGGTTCGACCCTGGTTGAACCTCTAACCCGTTCCCTTTTCCAGTTCTATGCCTGGCCCGGTTTTCTAAATTCTAAACATTGATTTTATGTGAGAAAAGGATAATAGTTTGGGTGCTTATAATACCAGAATTTGAAGGGATTTCAAAGGAGGCTCTAGTGTTGGTTTTATGGTCTTTTCTTGTAGTGGATTTCAAGCAGTTAATCTTGTATTTCTCTCTCTTCTTTGATGTCTACTCTTTTTGAGTTGTTTATAGAGTTTTAAGTTGTGGTGATTTCTCATCACCTTGGTTGATGTACTCTTCCTTTTATCAATAAATTTTTCTTTTTATTTATTACCAATATATATATATATATATATATATATTAGTATATTACATAATATAATATAGTTCTAGATATACATACATAACACACACACACACATAGGGGTGTCAAGTGGACTAGATTTGGTCCAATCCGATCCAGTCCAATATGAGCTCATTATAAATGGACCAGGTCCAATCCAATCCAGTGAACATTTTGGACTGGTCCAATTCAATGTCTGGACCGTCCAATCTGTTCAAATTTATTTTAATTTAGATTAATTCTAACCCAAACCCGGTCCATTGGCACCTATACCTTATCTTCTATCAATGGATCGGATATTGGCTGAATCCAACCCAATCTGATATAAATTCATCACGGATGGACCAGGTCCAATCCAATCCAATATATACTTTTGACCATTAAGTCTGGACTGGTCCAATTCAATACGTCTTGTTGGTCCGTCCAATCCATCCAAATTGATTTTTGTTTGGACGGGGTCCAATCCAAAACTGATCCATTGACACCCCTACACACAGACTTTTAGTCGGGCAGGTTTGGGGCTGGTGTCAGGGGTGGGGGTTGGGAAAATACCATCCCCGCCCAAAACCCGATCAGCAGTCAAAAAACCCACCATAACTGGGGCAAGGCAGGTCAGAGCCCTGACGAGGGTGGGTCAAATTGCTATCTCTACTTGCAGCAGTATTTAGGGATTTTTATTTCAGAATTTCCACTTCATACTTTGGTATGCATGGCAAGAATTGCCTCTGCATGATATCTCTTAAAAGTACACTGTCCTCGACCCTTTTCGAAGTCCCTCTAGCCTAATGATGCATTTCTTCGAGAAGTAGAGAAGCATGTGTGGTAATACACAATCTCCTTTGGGCAGGATAAATATTCTTCCACAATTGGTCAAATGAAGCCTTCTATTTATTAAAACCATAAGCTATGGCAGATGCACTGGTACTTGTTATCTATAGTCTCTCTTTGGCAGTTTGGCATACTATGGTTGCATAAACTTTATCTTCCCAACAATAATCTATAGACTGATGAAGTTTCTTCTCAGTAGGTTGGGTGACGGGGGTGCTTTTGGAAGGTTGTTTTCATAGCCTGAGCAACTTCTATGCAGGGGCAGGGGTGAGTCTTGTTTGACTGTCAGGCTGTTGTTCTTTGGTGTTTGTGTGTGTGTGTGTGTGTTTTGATTTTCTTTGGCTTTTCCCTGCTGGGTTTATCAATCTTTGGTTGGAGGTTTTTGCTATGCTTCTTTAATCTTTGGCTGGTTGCTGGTGTGGTGGGCCTTTTGTGGCCTTCCTCATACTTTTTCTGGGTTTCCATAAGGATCCAGTGGACTTGATGGTGTCACGTATCTTTGTAAACTCCTATTATAGAGGACATCAGGGTAGGGACTATTGAATGGCAGTCCAGTGTCTTACTAGCTACAACTATTACAAATGAAAATTATTAGTCTTATCTGATGAGTTCTGCTTTATTGCTTTCAACAATTTGTTAATGTAGATGAAGATTCTGCAAGGGAGGAGGCTCGGAGGAACATCCAAGAGGGAAGTCAGGGCTACTCAAATGCTGATGTGGTTGTCAAGCTTGGTGGATGGGATCCTGCTCTTGCTCAAACCGTAGCCCAGGCTTCCTTGAGTGCCCTTAAACAGTTAATCCTATCTGATAAAAAGCTTCCAGGTAAACAACCGCCTTCTGACGTACATCACTATCTAATTGTGTATATTTCAGCCATTCATAAAAAAAAAATTGTGTATATTTCAGTTCCACCATTTTTTGTTTATATTGAGTGAAAAAAATCCAAGTTATGATCAATTATTTTAACAAATTGTGTGTTCTACTCATGCTTGTCTCTGACTGGACTAAAATAAGTATCAAGAATTATTCAACTGGAAGAAATGGCTGAGCCTGCTCTTCCCTTAATGCATAGTTATATATTTCTTCATAAACATGTTTTTTCACAGCATAAGAGTAATGTAGTTTGATCTCCTGCTGACTTAAAGATCCCGCCTAGGAGGTAAAGTACTAATTTTCCTCAATTTGATAATCCTAATCATCTAAGCATTTGTGTGATGTTTGTGAATTTGATAAGCATTTGATAATCCTAACCATCAATTTGATAAGCATTTGATAATCCTTATGGGCTGTGAAGTTTGTGAATCCAAAATAGATACAGATTTATTGTATGGTTGGTAGATGGTTAGGATGACCTAGGGATGAGATTTCTGTTATGATCTTGGTAGAAGCTCACCAATTGATAGAGCTGTTCGTGGGCCGGAATTGGGGGATTTTGTCAAAATTCTAATGGGCCCGGCCCGAGAACAGGTCTACCAATTGAAACGGAAAAATGA